GCTATTGTTTTACGATTCTGGCAATATGACCTTCATATAGCACTGGTTAATTCATATGTTCAAAACAAAGTAACTAAGGGAGCATACTGTAATATGACAGCCTCTGAGAAGAGGTAAAGCAGCCATAGATGATGTGCAAACAAATGGGTGTGGTGTCCCCATAAAACTTTAACTCCAAAAACTGGAGAAGAGTTTGCCTGCCCCTGTCCTAGGTTATGTTGTGATGATATGAATATATGGTATACTCTAAGGATAAGGTGACTTCCTCTTTACTAAGCGGTAATTTTTTTTTAGGGAAGAAAGACCATGGCATTTATTCAAGGTATTAACACTCTGGCCAAAAGACTCTACAGTAAATAAACTGGCACCTTGCTTCCACGGAACATTCACAATGCTTCCATTAAGAGTAAGGAATGCAACCAACACTGTCTTCTCCGCTTTTAAGAGCAGCAGGAGGTACAGAAAGAAGCTGTGTGGGATACTGGACTTGCTGTGCAGTGTTACCTCCTGAAGATTTTGTGGGGAAAAAATGAATTACTACATTTAGATAGTGCCTGGCACACAGTAAGCATTATATATGTTATATATGTTGGCGGTCACTGTTGTTGTTATTAATTTTCATTATTAGCATGGGCCTAGTTACGTCATTCCTCCTGGACTCAGCTGCCTTGTTTGCAAAATGAGGAAGGTGGAATAGATAGTCCTATCGATGTCTTTCTACTAAAAAATTCTATGACTTTATCAGAAGAAAAAAAATCCAAAATACAGACATCAAGGGACATGTTCTCAAAGAAAGCATCTTTTAGGAAATAGTTGAAAAGGTGAAGTCTGACTTCACAAGTCCAGAGATCCAGGAGACGAAGCTGTCAGTGCAAATTCTTGCTTCAAATGCAACTGTGCTGGGAAGAGGTCACCCTGAGCTGATAAAGATATCGTGTTCACCTCTTCAGCAGCAGTGCACAGCCTGGGAGAGCACCCATCCATCCGCAACACTCTCAATCATACATGCCACTGCAGAGGCAAGATTCATGGCTTCAGCAACAGCCCAGTGTTATCCAATATGCATGAAACCAAAGTTTCCATCATTTCCAGTGGTCAAAGGCCAGTGAGTGTTAAATCCCAGAATACCAGGATTAATGAAGGAGTCATTAAAAACCCAGCATTAAATCACTTCTGTAGCCAATGCCGAGAGTGATGTCTGTAATACATTACAAGGCTGATTTAAAAGAAACAAGTTCCAATTTAGAAATGAATTACCTGAATTTTTTTTAACTGGTTGGATGGCTATCACAGCAATTTTGTTATTACAGGGGAAAGAGAGAATGGGTAACTTATAAATTATGCTGCAAATGGTGAATTGTCCTAAGATCACAGGGCACTGGATTCCAGGGCAAAAAATCTCTTAGAGACATATTAAGAGGGAGACAAGACTCCCGGTAATCAAGTCAGAATTTCTTTTGTCCCCCAAAATATTCTAGGCGGGTAGGGTGCTGTTAACTTTTCATGCTTGGGAAATAAATTTGATCTAGAAAAGTTTTAGAATAACGACAGTCTGATTCTATTTCCACAGTCCCTGCCTTTAGCAGACTAGGAAGAGTGAATGCATTCTTCAGCTCCTGCTTTTGAAGCTGCCATACATAAAAAACATGTACTTTCTAGAAAAAGACCTCTTAGGTAGTGAAATCAAAGCTAAACTGCAGAAGGTGAGGGGAATAATGTGGGGATTACCTTCTAATCCACAATGAATAGTAATGTCTTATTGCTAGACATAATCTATCAATGTGAAAAAGTCTTCAACAAATGTGTTAAAGATGAAGCATAGTGCAAAACAAAAACGTGGCACAAGTGGGCATGGCCATGCTCTGCCTATACACTCCATTCTTCCCCTGAGTTCCTAGATGGGAAAATCACAGCCTCCAGACTTTACTTACTGTTTTAGGTTATAGCATGGAATGCTGCACTGATTAAAAAACAAATAAGGCCAGGAGCGGTCGCTCACACCTGTAATCCCAGCCCTCTGGGAGGCTGAGTCAGGTGGATCACCTAAGGTCAGGATCACCAGCCTGGCCAACATAGCAAAACCCTGTCTCTACTGAAAAATATAAAAAGTAGCTAGATGTGGTGATGGGCACCTGTAATCCTAGCTATTCAGGAGGCTGAGATAGGAGAATCACTTGAACCTGGGAGTCGGAGGTTGCAGTGAGCCAAGATAGTGCCACTGCATTCCAGCCTAGTCAACAGAGTGAGACTCTGTTTCCAAAAACAAAACAGAAAAACAAAACAAATGAATGACACCAGGTAGACAGGTGAAGAGCATCCCTTCACAAGCAATGATTCTCAGTCACACTCAACACACAAAATCTTAACAGTGCAAGGTGAGGTATAGAAAATATTTCCAATTCAAAGGATCCAAACCAAAATGGAAATACTCATTCCTAATTCTCCCTCTTCTCTGCCAACTCATGATACAATGATTTACATCTCTCCCTGAAAAGCAGCCTTGAAGGGTTATCTAAGACCAGGTCATATAATTCTTAAAATATTATGTTATAAACATGGATGATATTCAAGATATTTAACAATTGGCACTGGCTAGTTTGTTATACCTGTGCTTACTGGCTGAATAAAAGCCCCTTTTAGAAAGGTGTGAAAGAAAACAGCTAGGGTCATAAATGGGGTTATATCTAGAAGCACATCAACATAAAACAGCAAATCTACTCCAGCATATCAGTTTAGATTAAAGGCTGCCAAATAATTATACTTTGGTCATCAAAATACACATTATTAATTTCATATACATAGGCTATCCCCCAAAATAGAACACCATAAACTCTAGGGCTTCTTGGATATTTAATTTTGGGTTTCAGTCTTTATAAACCCACCAACTGACATTGAGCCTGAAAAATGATTATACTTGAATTTATTTCATCGCCCCAAATATTTATGACTTGGAGATACACAAATATTTATTACTTGGAGATACAGTTTTGGTTAGCTAGCAATAAGAGAGACAACAAAAGAGATTAACACCTTTTACCGCCTAAGGATTCCTTCTAGGAAGGTGTTTTAAAACAACAGTAATAATAAACAGTCGCTGGCTAGATAAAATCGATGAATTTGAAAATCAGTTACAGATAGGGTTAAAAGGAATCTTACAGGTCCAAATTCACTATACTACCATTTCACTACACCACTGCTCTCTCAGATAAGCAATTCAACTAAGGTCACATCAGTGGCGAATGGCAATCAGGCCACTGAGTTGATTGGTGGGGATTACTAAGAATTAACTATTTGGGTAAAATATGATTACATTAATGAAGAACAAGCACCTTAAGCAGATTTTTGTAAATCCAGACTTACAAGAAAACCTAATCACCTAAAATCAAGAGCCTGGGAAGGAAGAGCTACAAAAGGGAAAATCTACAACTAGATGTTACAGCCAAAAGGAAACTTGTGGCTTCATTGCTACTGCTTGTCTCACCAATAAACATTCCCACCAGTGAAATCCCCTCTACCAAGAATCTGAGAAGAGGTCTGAAGGAATTTTACATTACCAAGAAGACACATATTAAGGAAGCATAATGTTGACAGTACTGTTAATGCCACTTTCAAAAAAGACCAGCTAAGGGCCTTAGGAAAAGAGGTTAACTGACTTGCAAGGTCACACTTTAACCTGGAGGCAGAGCTAGAAATAACCATCTCCCCACTGGCCCCTCTACTGCTCTGCCATCATGTACCTTTTCCAAACAGAGTTGGTACTGAAGAAATTAACAGAGTTGTAAAAGTGATCTGAGAACATAAACATCTGTAAGGTCTTTCTTATTCCTCCTATTACCTGTATCTATGCTGCAGACTTAATCTGAGAGCAGAAAAGATTGTTGGTTTTGGCACCTCCTGTTTCCTTTAGACTCCGCTTCTCAGTGGTTAACAATATTGGGTGCACACCAGAATCACCACTTAAAACACTAATGCCAGACCCCACTCCAGACAAATAAAGCAAGAACCTCTAGGGGTGAAGATTTACACTGATAAAACACCATGCATCAGTACTCAGATTTTAAATTTGGGTGTCACCATTTTTTGTAAGTACTCCAGGTGATTCTATCAAGTTCTGTGAAAAACTACCCAGACAGAAAACTTCAGCTAATATTACTCTCCTCAAGAAATCAAGGGCCAAGAATGATGTAATACAACCTAAGGCCCCAGAATCATAAATGTGTCGTATCACCTGGCCTTCCCAAAGAACAAGGTCCTGAGAATTCTGGGAAGGGAATAGAGCAAACTTTAGTATTATTTCAGGAACAGCAAACTCATTCCTACTGGTTCTATTTAGGTCACAGGAAGCCAACCAATCAGTCGTGGTAGCAACCAGAGAGAAGATTCCTCCTTTTTGTCTCTGCAGAATAGAACTGCCAACTGGCCATGCTGTACTTCCTAGGCAGCTGTGATGACAAGAGCCCCTGCAAAACGTAGACATCGTGTAGGGGTGGGGAAGGGTGGCTCTCTGCTTCTCTGGGAAACAAGGACAAATAAGCTAACTTGTGGTCATTATGACAAAACCAAGCCTACATACCCAGTTTATTATTGGCTTGACATTAAACATCAATTAACAACAAAACAAAACCGCCCACCCATGCAAACACATATCCCAAAACAGAAAATTACATAATGGCATCTGGAATGATCTGCTCTGACAGTGAGAGCAGAACCAGTCAAACCAACGAGGTCTAGAAAGGTCCAAAATGGAGAGAGGCAGCCCCAGAGAGTCATTTTCACATCCCCTATAGTTTATGTAAATGCAGGTATACATAAACAACATTTTGTTCAGAGGAAGAAACTGAAGTAATAGTCTAGATTCTAGAAGACTATCATCCTACTCAGAGAAACACTAAACCATGCTAATTGGAAGTATAACTCTATGTTCTCCTACCAAACCTAATCATTCTAGATAAGAACAGATTTGTTAGAAGAAACTTGTTTTAGCACATGTTGCTTTTTAGGGTAGAGGGTCAAAATAAGTTTTATTTCACAGTGGTCAGAAAGGAAAAAGACGTCCAGGAAGAGGAATCCCACTACCTGTCCATTATGGTTTATGGCCCACATACCAGCCAGCTGGCATCACAGGAGCAGGAGAGTGGTGTTTTTGTTCCCCAGAGTCCATTAGCAACTGGACCAAACCCAATGTCACTGTTGCTAAGGTCCAGATTGTGGCAGCTGCTTTAGATTTGCACTGCATAAACAGAGTACAGAACTTCTGCAGGTAAAAGCTCTAGAAATGAGACCCCACGCCAGGCCTCAGACTTGGAAGAGGAAGACAGCTTGGGCCAGACCCCAGTGAGTGCCCAAGCCCTCTTGGAGGGACTTTTGGAGCTCCTACTGTCTAGAGAGACAGTGGTTGGGGCACTGAGGCGTCTGGGGGCCCAAGAAGAGGCAAAGGGAGCAGCAAGGGGCCCAGGTGACCAAGTTCCCCGCAGCACCTGGATCGACTCTCCGAGTTGGCTGACCAGATGGTGGCCCGGGGCAACCTTGGCAGGCACCAGGAAATGAGGGAACAGTTGGCCATGCGGCTGAAGGGTTTGGAGTGCCAGGCCCTAGGGACCCCACAATCCCACATCCCCACGCTCCCTGGACATGTTCACTGAGGAAGTGGTGGAGAGGGAACTGGAGACCCCAACCCCTACCCAGAAAGAAGAAGCAGAGTTGCCACGAGATGGTCTGGTGGATGTGATGTGGGAATATAAGTGGGTGAACCTGGGGGATGCCAAGCTGCATGGGCCCTTCACCAGCGCCCAGATGCAGACCTGGATGAGTGAAGGCTACTTTCCTGATGGTGTTTATTGCTGGAAGCTGGAACCCCTTGGTGGTCAGTTCTACAACTCTAAATGCATTGACTTTGACCTCTACACCTTAGCCTGCTGGGGGCCGAGTTTGGTGGGCCCTCCTTTCCTGAACTTTGTGGAGGAAGTCCAAGTGTCTCAGGCAGTGAGGAAATTGGAGGCCATTTTTCAGTCAATTTCCTTTTCCCAATAAAAGCCTTTAGTTGTCGGGCCTTGGCTGTGCTAATGGCCAGAAGCGAGGGAACTTCTCCACAGCCCCTTTGGATTCACCTTGATCCCTGAGTGTTCGCTTCTATGAAAATCCTCCTTGGAGGTGCCTGTCAGGGTCCTGTGGCCTCCCTGCCTGGGCTCTGCTTGCCAAGTAAACACCCCCAACTGTGCTACAAAAAAAAAAAAAAAAAAAAAAGGAGAGACCCCACTTACAAAACTAAGTGAAAACAAAAATACATTTAAAAAAAAAAAGTGTTGACATTTTTCCTAAGAATTGGAAACTAGAATATTTTTTTAACTTACTGATTCATAGTTCTAGTACAAGCAATAAACAAGTCCAGCAAAAGTTTAAGGGCTTTGAAATTCTCTCCTTCTCTTTGGAAAGGAAGGGGTATTTTTGGTTCCCTGCTTTGAAAGACAATAAACCACTACAAAGACTCTGTGGTCAACCTTCACTCAATGATCTGATCTTTCCACAGCTGCAGAGGGTGCTAAGTGACACAAGAAGCAATATAAACATTTCAGAGGGAAATTTCTGAAAAAGTGGTGACAGGAATAAATGAATTGTTTAGTTGCTTCTTGGTGTAAAAAAAAGAAAAGGTGATTTTGTAGTCAATGACTAAATGATCCCTTTTTCACTGGGAAGGAAGAAGGATGGTGTGAGAACTGTAACACAGTTCCCATTGCTACTGACCTAATGCGTGATGGCTTATAAACCACAGTTTGAACACAATAGCTGCTCACATTAAAGCAACAGTCTGCTGAATACCAGTTTATATGTAAGCAGATATATTAGAAATTCATAAGACTCCATGTAAAACCAACAATGGAAACCTGACAGAACAGCCCACCTCCCTTTATGAAGTTAATGCTCTTAAACATCTCCCAATCCTAACATACATACTCACCTCCAAGATCACAGTATTTGCTAAATCCTTCCAAGTTCCTTTTGTTTCCCTATTTAAAACACATTTTCACTAAAGGCAGAAAAATTAACCAAGGTATCACAGCAGGAAGGGCCATTCTAAAAGCTCCATGGACTATGGCTTTGAGTAAGCCTTTTCAGGTGGTGATAGAGTAAAAACATTTCCAAAAACACTAATTTGGTAGCCCTATGCCTTTTCATCACCTCAGATAAACAGGTAAAGTAGATAGCTAGCTTACTAGTTAGAGCAAGCATACCCAGGGAAGTAGCTGGCTAGCACACCTCTTGATTTGAAAGGTATCCAATATACTGTTTTTATTAAAGAATAAATTGTGTACCTACCAAATGGTAAATATGTGTTAAGCTTCCTGAAATATTAAGCATTACTCATGCATATCCATTACTTCTACCTGTATGCAAGTACTTACCTTAAGGAAACATAGTATACATTCAATACTTAGGGGGAAAATGAATGCAATTCACCATCAAGAAAACTGAAAAAGTGATGTGAGGAGACTAATACAAACCAAAGTGCCTTCAACGGAACAATAAAATGGCCTAGTACCAGAGTCCTCAACCATAATCCAATGAGGTATTTTGTTTTGTTTTGTAAATTAAACCTTGGGTAGCTACTACTTACTAAATTCATCCTTAAAAGAATCTGTTGGGTAGCAATAACATTAGTGGATGAGTTGGCCACAGGGAGTGTGATGAAGAAAAAGAGAACAGAATATAAAATCAAATTTGAGCTTAAAGAAATAGCTGGACATGTGAGAGAGAAGTGGGAAAGAGGACGGAGAAAAGATGGAAGAGACTATTAGATTTAAAAATTAGGTCAATAGTGAGCAGCTCCCTGGAGGGCTTAGGGCTCACTTAAGTATTTGTTATGTCTTAGTCACTATGCTAAACATTTAAAATGCAGTATCACCTATAATCCCCACAATATCCTTATGAGGTATACTATTATTATCTCTAACTGATAGCTGGAAAAACAACAACAACAACAACAACTAAGGCCCATGATTACATGGTATCTAATAGTAGAGCTGAGTTTTTTTTTTTTACCTGAGACCCATTTACTTCCAAACTCTACATTTAAAAAAGTATCCAGGCCAGTGCAGTGGCTCATGATGTAATCCCAGCACTTTGGGAGGACAAGGTGGGAGGATTGCTTGAGCCCAGGAGTTCAAGACCAGCCTGAGCAACATGGCTAAACCTCGTCTCTACAAAAATTAGCCAGGCAGGGTGGCATTCAGCTGTGGTCCTAGCGGTGGGAGGATCACCTGAGCCCACAGAGATTGAGGCTGCAGTGAGCCATGACTGTATCACAGCACTCCAGCATGGGTGACAGAGTGAGACCCTGTCTCAAAAAAACAATTCCATAGAATCTAAATATCAACAATAGTTTGCCTTAGACTTCCTCTCAACCTTATGCCAAGTGGTCCAAGTTTTTCTGCTTTTAAATTTTATATTCTTTAAAAAAAAAAAAAAAAAAAAAAAAAAGCACTCAGCACTCAAAAGAAGTACCCCCGAAATAGGAGTTATTATATAACAGGCAATTTCCTCCTATTTTCTTTTGAAAATGTTACTACAATTTTTATTACTTTTTAAAAGATCACTCAGAATTAAAGGAAGCAAATCCCTTTTAAGCAGAATCACTACTGTGAGTTACAAGAATCTATAAAAACTCTGTTCCTATTCCCCTTAACACTGAGTGCTGTGCTGACCACAGGAATTATAAAGAGAAGGGGGCTGAGAAATGGCATAGAAAAGACCCATAAGTTTTGCTTATTGGTAGCCATGTCAAATGCCCCCTCTCCTTATCACATCAATGGCACTACAAAGAAAAAGAAAGAAAGAAAGAAAGAAAGAAAGAAAGAAAGAAAGAAAGAAAGAAAGAAAGAAAGAAAGAGAGAGAGAGAGAGAAAGAGAGACAGAGAGAGAAAGAAAAAAGAAAAAAAAAAGAAAAGAGAGAGAATGCTAGTGGGAGGTCAGCAAGATCTACTGAGAACTTCGGTCCAAACACCATCCTTTACAAGGTCCCCCTGAAATAAAAGAAAGACAGATATGGAAAAGAATAAAGCCCTGGCCAGAGTGGTGGCTCACACCTGTAATCCCAGCACTTTGGGAGGCCAAGGCAGGCAGATCACTTGAGGTCAGGAGTTCAAGACCAGCTGGCCAACGTGGCAAAACCCCATCTCTACTAAAAATACAAAAATTAGCCAGGCATGGTGGTGGGCATCTGTAATCCCAGCTACTCAGGAGGCTGAGACAGGAGAATTGCTTGAACCTGGGAGACAGAGGTTGCCGTGAGCTGAGATCACACCCCTGCACTCCAGCCTGGGCAACAGAGTGAGACTCTCTCAAAACAAAACAAAACAAAACAAAACAAAACAAAACAAAACAAAACAAAACACGAACAAAGCCCTAATGATGCTAGAAAATAAGAATGTGTGTTAGCAGCACATCAGAAAGTTTGCAAACCCTGAAAGGCAGAAAGCAGATGGGGTCAGACTAGTGGAGAAATGGTAGCACAAATAGTAAGAAGAAAGAGCACTCCAAGGGCCTTTATCAATAAATACAAAGCAACCCAGTGAGTAGGCTTTAGGGTCATCATCGGAGTAATGAATTAGAAACCACACTCAGAAGAGCTTGGCCAGTCAGCCAGAATCTCCTCTACTTCAATGTTTTTATTTAGGGCAGCCTTCAAGGAAGTCCGCCTCTGATACTACCTGCCTACCTACTCACTTTTGTGACGAAGCTGTCCAAGAGAAGTAGACTTACTTAACTGCAGAGAAACACCATGTCTACCCCAAGTAGTAAAGTTGTTCCTTCATAAATGCAGATGAAACTTTACAAATATTTAAGGATTTATCAAAGAAAAAGAACAAAATAAAGACAACATTTAATCTAAGAGGAAACAGATAATTCAGACAACAGAAGAGGGTGTCATTTCTTTTTTCTCTTCTTTTTTTTGAGACCGAGTCTCGTTCTGTTGCCCAGGCTAGAGTACAGTGGCGTGTTCTTGGCTCACTGCAACTTCCGACTCCTGGGTTTGAGTGATTATCCCACCTCAGCCTCTCGAGCAGCTGGGACTATAGGCGTGTGGCACCACACCCAGCTAATTTTTGTATTTTTTTAGTAGAGACGAGGTTTCACCACGTTTGGCAGGCTGGTCTTGAACTCCTGACCTCAGGTGATACGCCTGCCTCAGCCTCCCAAAGTGCTGGGACTACAGGCATGAGTCACCGTACCCAGCTTTCTTTTTCTTTTCTTTCTTCTTTTTTTTTGTTTTTTGAGAGGGAGTGTCACTTTGTCACCTAGGCTGAAGTACAGTGGTATGATCTCAGCTCACAGCAACCTCTCCCTCCAAGGTTCAAGAGATTCTCCTGCCTCAGCCTCCCAAGTAACTGAGATTACAGGTGTCCACACTCCGCTAATTTTCCTATTTTTAGTACAGATGGGGTTTCATCATATTGGCTAGGCTGGTCTGAATTCCTGGCCTCAAGTGATCTGCCTGCCTCAGCCTCCCAAAGTGCTGGGATTACAGTTGTGAGCCATCTCGCCCAGCCTTTTTTTTTTGAGACCGAGTCTTGCTCTGCTGCCCAGGCTGGAGTGCAGTGGCATAATCTTGGCTCACTGCAACCTCCATCTCCGGGGTTCAAGCGATTCTCATGCCTCAGCCTTCTGAGTAGCTAATAGACATGCATCACTACACTCAGCTAATTTTTTTGTATTTTTAATTTCAGACAGGGGTTTTGCCATGTTGCCCAGGCTGGATTCGAACTTCTGGGCTGAAGTGATCTATCCACCTCTACCTCCTTAAGTGCTGGGATTATAGGTGTCAGCCACTGCTCCCAGCCAAGGCTGTTATTTCTTTTAATTTTAAATGTTCTCTGAGATATTAGAGACAAATTGTATTCACAAACTAAGAACAGGGTGCTATTAAGACAGAACAATTAAAGAACAAAAATTTAAATATAAATGCTGAAAGAAAAATCAATAAAATGGGCTAGATTAAAAGAACAGTCTGTAAATTTTATCAGCATAGAAATAATTTCAGTTTTAGAAT